GGTGAGCCTAGTCGAGGTAAGACTGACAATGTCAATATTTAAACATGCAAGGGCGCATGATGTAACTTTCTTATACATATAATAGACACATGCAATTCTAATATATATAAATATAAGGGGTAAATTTAAAACTCTTTAAATTTAGTTGTCTATTATTAATTCTAAATAATTGCGAGGAAGCAATGTAACAATTAATAAATCATGAGGGTTAATATTCAAATTTATAAATCCATATTATAAATAATATTAAATATTTAAATTCACTATTTAAATAACAAATAATTATTCAAATTCAAATAAACACATTTAAATAATATATCAATTAATAAATATTCAAATTCAAATAAACATATTTAAATAATATTTATCCATTATCAAATAAATATTCAAATTCAAATAAACACATTTAAATAATATTTATCAATTTTCCAGATTCAAAAACAATTTAAATTAGGTATTTATCCATGTTTATCAAGGCTACATAGTCGAAAAATGGCAAAAAATCCGAAACCCTAAATTCTGTCGAGTTCACGTCGTAAACTCCTAGTTCACGTCGTGAGCTGCGACTAGGGTTTTATCATATTACAAATTTTTCATCTAATTTTCTTCCATTCAGTTTCAAACAAGTTCTTACAGAAAACATCGATCTAGGGTGAAAGTAACCATGAACCAATGGCTCTGATACCACTGTTGGGTTTTCTACGCATCAAATACACTCTTAACTAGGTAGCGGAAAAATCGAAACAACGATATACCTAAGTGTACATGCAACATATGGATCTATGGCTTCATGCTAATTACATCAACCCTATAAAACATTAAAAAAAAAATACCTCTTATGTTGCCTTTTATCTCCATGCTTGAGATATTGAACCTCCATGAAGTTGCTTGGATGAAAGGACCCAAACCAGAATCCCTCTAATGGTATCACACCCAATGACACCAAAGAGTAGAATAAAAATAACTAGAAGAATGGTCAATTTCATAAACCCAAAGAGGGTTAGAAATTGTCCCTAAGGGAGGAGGAAGAAGGGTTGGCAAATACTTCAAGCCAAGGTGTAAGGAGGAATGAAATCCTTAAGGCCCTATTTATAGCCTTGGATGCCTCCTTAGGTTTAGTACTCCTTCCCATGTGGGATGGAGGCATAACCACGAAATTTCACTCATTTCCCATGTGGGATGGAGTGATTTTCATCCAACCCAAATTCCATAAGGGTTCTGGAACATTCCTAATTAACCAACTATCGATTAATGAACATTCAACCATTTAATTAATTAAACTATTAATTAATTCCCATAATATATTTCCAATTAGTTTCTAATTAATTATTAACCATAATAATTAATAAACCAATTTCTCCTTTATTTATTCTACTCAATTTGGGTCTTGAGGGCAACCCAAAAGGACCCTGCTATTATTAGAAATATGATCGACAGTTAATGACCTTGGACACTATTCCAACAGAATTTATATTGCGCCATGATCAAAAAGATTAATAAAAAAAATGGTCCCACCCAGCAAGACGTTAATATACAAGGAATCAATTTGAAACGAGAGTCGTATAGCAATACCTTTTGACCTTTAACAAATACCTTGCGAGAAATCATCTTGTCGTGGTATTCTTTTGTCTTCTCTTTGTAAACGGATTCAATTTCATAAGTTTCATTTCAAATCTCTTTAATCTCTTGTATGTCAAGCTCCCTTTTCTTTCTCGATTCATCCATATCCATATTGAATTGCTTGATTGTCCAATATGCTCTATGCTGCAACTCAACGGGTACTTGACACGGCTCGCCAAAGACAATACGATATGGACACATCCCAATTGGAGTTTTGAATGCAGTGCAGTATGCCACAAATCATCATTGAGGCGAACACTCCAATATTTCCTTGTACCATTCGTTGTCTTCTCCAAAACTCTTTTGCTTTGTCGATTGCTCACTTTGCTTGTCAATTCGTCTGTGGATGATATGATGTGGAAACTTTGTAAGTAACTTCATACTTCTTCAAAACACTTTCGAGCATATGATTACAAAAGTGTGAACCACAATCACATATTAAGACTTTTGGAAATCCAAATCTAAAAAATATGTTAGCCTTCAAAAAATCTATCACAACTTTTGAATCGTTAGTACGAGTGGGTTTAGCTTCCACCCATTTTGAAAAGTAATCCACAGTTAGAAAAATGTAAGTAAAACCCAAAGATGATTGGGAAAGGTCCCTTGAAATCAATTCCCCAAATAGCAAAATTTTCACAAGCTAAAGTGGGATTAAGGGGCTTTTGAGTCTCTGAGCTTAAAGATCCCATCTTTTGACACTTATCACAGTTTAAACAAAAAACATAAGAGTCATGGAAGATACTTGGCCAGTAAAATCCACTCTCTAAGACTTTTCTTGTAGTTCTTTAAGGACCAAAATGACCTCCACAAGCATAAGAGTGACAAAATGATAAGATAGAAGATACCTCATGTTGTCCAACACATCGTCTGATCATTTGGTCAGCACAATATTTCCACAAGTATGGTTAATCCCATACATGCCTCTTCGCTTCCTTCTTGATCTTGTCTTTTTGCCAATAAGTTAAATTTAGTGGAAATTGTTTTGTGACAATGTAATTGACAATATTGGCATACCATGGGGCAACTTTTGTTGAAAATAGATGTTCATCTGGAAATGTGTCACAAATGGGAGTTTAGTCATTGGGAGAGAAAATCCTACTAAGATGATCAACCACAAGCTTTTCTATTCCACTTTTATCCTTTATCTCAATGTTGAATTCTTGTAAGAGAAAATTCGATCGAATAAATCTAGGATTTGAATCCTTCTTTTCAAGTAAGTACCTAAGAGTTGCATGATTAGAATACACAATTACCTTAAAACCTAACAAATATTGAATAAAATTTTCTAAAGCAAATACAATAGATAGCAATTCTTTCTCAGTTGTGGAATAATTGGCTTCTACACAATTAAGTGTCTTTGAGGCATAGTATATGAAATGAGGAACTTGATCATTTCTTTTCCCCAATACTGCACAAATCGCATTATTACTAGCATTACACATTATTTCAAATGGTAGACTCCAATTTGGTGATTGAAGTATTGGTGTTGTGACTAACAATTCCTTCAACAGATCCAAGCTTGCTTGCACTCCTTGGAAAATTCAAATTTTGCATCTTTTTGTAAGAGTTCACACATAAGATGAGATATCTTAGAGAATTTATTAATGAACCTTCTATAAAAAGCTACATGACTAAGAAATGAACGTACCTCGCGAACACAAGTAGGATACAGTAAAGACTTAATGATATCAAGCTTTGCTTTATCTACCTCTGGACCCTTAGAAGACACAACATGACCAAGTATGAGACTTTTATCAAACATAAAATGACATTATTCATAGTTCAAAACAAGCTTGGTCACGTTACATCTTTGTAAAATCTGCTTTAAATTACCTAAACACTCTTTGAATGAATTGTCATACACTATGATTTTTTTAAGGGCGCCCACGTTTTTTGAAGGGGGTCGGGTCGCCTTTTGATTTTTTTTGTTGGACATCTGACTTGTCTGAACTTCCAATTATTTTGTCCTTTTGACTTTTGAGTAAGTTTAACCTTGGGTCAAACTCTAGGGTTTTAGTTCATAGTCTGAGGTTTGACTTTTATTTACGTCTAGTTCTCGAGTTTTAGCAAAGAAAAGAAAAGAAAGTAAGGAGAGAAAATAAGAGAAATGAAAGGAAAAGAAATTTGTCGTTTGTGTTCCTGGGTTGGAGAGAAGTGAAAGGAAAAATTAAACATTTTGTTCTTTCTCTCCAAATCCTTCCAAATCGGAACAGAGTTAGGAAGGAAAGCGATCCTTCCATTTCCTTCCACTTCCTTCCTTTAATGAAACTCGGGAACACCAAATTATTTTACCTTCATCTCACTTTTATCCATTTCCTGTATTTTCTCTCGTTAAGTTGAACTCGGGAACCAAGTGTTAATGTCTAGGGGTTCGTGAGACCACTCTTTATAGTACTCTCGTGCTGTTGAGATTATCCGATTTATCTACAAGATGAATTTTCTCACTATACTATGTAGGACATTTGGTGTCAATGTATGCATGTTGTTTGTATGTTTGCATGCTTCGTTGGGTTGGGGCCCATTTACATGTTTCGTTGGTTTGGGCCCATTATTTTGTGGTGCATGTGGTATTTGGGGAACTCGCTAAGCTTTGGCTTACAATTGTTGATTAAATACTAAGTTTAAAACCCGTGGAAACCACGGTTGAAAAAGAAAAACATTATTGATAATTTCAAATTGTCACGACTATTCACAGTTTGCAAAAAAATTATTAATTTAAAAAGATAGATTTTTATTTATATGTTTATAATAATTAATTAAAATTAGTATATACATTGTTATGAATATCGATCTACGTTCTGTATGTTTACATATCTGATAAAATCATGATTATTTACAATGTAATATAAATTTAAATAGACTATAAAAATTGTAATAATTAATCATGAACTTGCAAACAATTATTTTTATATAAATTCAAATGCTTTGTTCATAAGTCTATCATCATTGTTTTTAGACAAAATTTCACAATTGGTCCCTGTGGTTTACAGAATATCGCACTTTGAGGACTTCCTAGCAAAAAGTCACGCCACTGGTCCTTATGGTTTCAGTTCATTGCATGATTGGTCCTTGACCCTAACCCCGTTACTTTTGTACCGTTAGTGCAGGGGTATTTTTGTCTTTTCATGTAGGGTTATTTCCAATAAAGACCTCATGTTTACTGATTTTTTTTAAACCAACAGGTTTGTTTGTTTCCCAAAAAAAACCCAACTTTTTGCAAAAACTTGTTTTTTTTTTCTTATAACCAGGTGAGTGGCTACCATGAATTGCTTTATACTTTTTTCCTCCACTGCACTACCAAGTCATATCATTATTCAAGAACTTAAGGACAAAGTATAATCTTCCGATCATAAAACTAACAATGTCGATCTCTAGGGTTTCTCCTTCATCATCATCAAAACTATTGTGATTTCTTTTCCTCTTTCTTCTTTATAACTTCATCAACATACATAATACATTTCCCTTTGAAAACTTCAGGGGGCTTACAACTATGAACAACAACAACAACAACAAACTAATACACCATTTCCTTGTCAATTCCAGTGCAACACACAATATTGGGTTTGAAAAAAAATACTCGAACTGCAGGAGGAACTGTCAATTCCACCTCATGACTGTAACCCAATTTCAGAAACAAAAGATGCCCTTCAGATTCAGCTCTTGCTTTGAAACCAACTCCCACTATCTTCAGAAACTGAAAGATTACACATCGTTCAAAATCTAGATCAAGAAACACGATATGTAATTCCATTAATAATTTCAAAGGAATCGTACAAAGTAACAGATAAAAATTCAAATTTGATGCATGAAAGTGGCGATCAAAATCATCCTTTGATTTGGGGAAAAGCTTTCACGAAATTAAGCTCAATATAATAACGAAAAATTCATAAACAATGACGACTTATATGTGAAATTGATGAAAAGAAGAAAACAGAAAATTTGCTAGCAAAGCACGTGCATTCATAGCAGGATGCATTAGCAAATATCGTAATCTGATAGAATTGAAACCCCGATAAAGAAAAGTAGAAACCTGAAAATTATCTCCGATCTTTGTCTTTTTTTCTTTTTACTGAAGAATGTATGTTCAACAATCTTTGTTTCTTTCGGTATGTTTGATATCGCCGGAATACTATTGTGGATGACGAGAGTTTACCGGAAGCAGCAACACCAGTAATTCGTCCTATAACACTCCGTTAAATTTACCACCAAAGCTTAACACTCCATTCCTGACAGATCCTGGATTTGTTGAAAGAGCATCAAGATTCTCTTCTTTCGGTGGGAGGAACTTTGCGCTAAAAGAAAACGAATTCCCTCTCAAATCAAGAAAGTTGTCAAGAAGCGAACACCGGGAACGATTCGATGAACCACTAATAAGTCTCGATTTTGTTTTGGGGATAATGGGGGAATTGATTTGGGAAGAACCCTAACCCTATTCATATCACACAATTCGCTGTAGTTGGGTGAAGAAATCATCCTTAGCAACAGCGACGGGGATGGGTCTTTATTGGAAATAACCCTAAATGAAAAGACAAAAATACCCATGCACTAACAGTACAAAAGTGATGGGGTTAGGGTCAAGGACCAATCATGCAATGAACTGAAACCATAAGGACTAGTGGCGTGACTTTTTGCTAGGAAGTCCTCAAAGTGCGATATTTTGTAAACCACAGGACCAATTGTGAAATTTTGTCTTGTTTTTAATTAATATGTAATATGGTTTCAAAACATATGTAAGTCTATAATCTTTATTTAGAATTAATAGGTTAGAAACCTCTGTATTTTAAGGACTGATAACTTAAAAAAACATATATAATCCATATAGCGACTTATCATTAAAGGATAGGCAACAAATTCAAATATATGTAGATAAATAAAAACTAAAAACCAGCCATTGAAGACCTTTTACAACCATAAAAATCAAATGTATGAGATAAATTAAAACTAATGAAACATAGGTGAATAGGGTTAATGACATTAATTTTAAGCTCTTTAGAAATAAAGATTGAACAAACTCATAATAAAAACCACAAACATGGACGATATTCTTCTAAGAGCCCCAAAACATAATGTAATCCATCAAAGTTAAATGTAAGAAAAACTACAAAAGATATTCATCGAATTTTTTACAGATTAATAAGTGGCATCGCATAGGTTCTTCAAAATTTCCAAGTGTTGCAATAAATAGTAAAATAAAGCAAGCAGCCAAGGAGTTTAAGATCTTAAAATTTTAAATGCTCAAAATCGGGGATTATAAAAAAAATACATTTCATAATTCGAATTCGTGATTATTCAAATATTTGGCAATAAAAAAACCATTATACTCATTTTTCTAATTATTTGCATTTTTTTCTCAATTTCATAAAATTTCTGATTAAGCAATGTTGGGCCGAGAATAAGCATCATCACTGGGCCATTGTCATTTTTCTAAGACCAATAAACGTGGGCTGATGAATGTCATTCCGTTGAATCCATTAGGCTGGTGGGTGTGGGCACCGGCGTTTTGATAAAAAAGAAGAAAACGGCGTTAATGGAAAGTGGTGGTGGTAACGGGAAGCAACGCACAAGCCTTTAACACCTAATAACATTGAAGGGGGGCGGTGTTCATGGGTGTTATTAGGCGTTATTAGCCCCAATAACGGGAGTGGGCGTTGCCCACTCCTAGTAGTCTTAGGCTTAGAAATTAAGCTTCACACGTACCTTTCTTCTATTTAAATTTGTTGTACCCTTTTAAACTATTATTTTCCAATTCTTTTTAATTTATTACTTCATTCATTCTCACCGTCTTCTTTTGACTCCAAATCAATCTTGCCTTTCATGCCATCCATTCGTTTATCAGAGCCAAGAATAAGAACCTCATCACCACCATCTTCTTTAACTGCACTTTTTTGTTCTTCCAATGTGATATTTCCACTATCTTCAACATAATCCTTTAAAAATTCACTATGGTTCTCCACATCTTCATGATGATACTCGTTAATACTTGCATCTTCATTGGAGGAAAATGCCTATAATTGATCCCATATCCTTCAAGCCTTCATTACTACATTATTTCTTTAGATTTTCAATAGATATCATATCAATCGCTTTTCCTAACATCACACATGAAGAATCTAGCACCAATAAAAGATATGCATTTAAATTGTTAAAACATAGGATTTGAAAAAAGAAAAATAAAAAAGTTGGATCTTTCTATGATTGTCAAACATGGTTTACATAAAATGAAAGAAAGATCATTTTTGAACATTCATACAAACTTCTCTTTAAAAACGATTATTAATCCATAAGTAAAATGTTATAATTGAGTAGATTTTTCAAAGTAGAATGTCTTAATAAGAAACATGCATACCTCTCGTTACCAGGGAAGAGATTGAAACCATGGCCTTTACTCAAATGCGAGGCATTAATTGAAAGTAAGTTCATGCAATTCTGCAACCCAATAAATACACGTTAAAAAGCGTATTAAAGTTAAATTGATAAATAAAGTCAAAAAGAGTATCTTCGTATTAATCATTTTTGAATGAATGAGATCTAGAATTAGTACGTCTTTGAAGCTTTCCCAACCACAACTTATATATGTAAGTGTTTGAGGTAATGAACAAATTTCTTCTTGTGTGGTTTTACTTGGAATTTCAATTGAATATTCTCTTGCTCATAAAATCCAATGTCTTTTTTCATCTTTTGACTTGAAGGTTGGGCTAGAAAAACAAACCACGCTGTAACTTTATATTATTCACTTATTAAAAAAGTTAATTACTAAAAGTCAACTAATTCTTGAGTATTTCTACCTTTTAAGTGTCTGGTTTCACACTCTGCTGATCTAGACCTGTCAATGAGGCGGGTTTTGACCCTGATTCGCTACAAACCCGTAAGAATTTTACGGGTTTGGATTGTAATTTTCGATTCGTTTACCCGTTTACGATCCATACCCGTTTACCCTTTTAATAAATGGGTCGGGTATGGATCATTGTCGATCCGCTCCACTTATAACCCGCCTCATTATATATATATTATATATATATATATATATATATATATATATATATATATATATATATATATATATACTAGGTGTAACACCCGTATGTTATACGAGTTTGGTAAAACAAAATATTAAATATGCAAGTTTAAATAAACTTTTATTTAAATTTGAAATTTGAATTTAAAAGGAAACATATTAAATACTATATAAGTACTAATATTTTCAATTAAGGTAATTAATAATTGAGGTGTAAATATGATGTGTTAATTAAGAAAATTGAAAAAAAAATGAGAAAATGACAAATGGAAAAAACAATTATTCAAAAATACCAAAAAATGACATGTGTCCAAGTTAATGAGAGAGTGACAGGTGGCAAAATTATTTTCATTTATTAGGGAGGAGAGATATATATATATATATATATATAGATATATATATATATATATATATATATATATATATATATATATATATATATATATATATATATGACAACAAAATATACCACTCGATGTCTAAGTAAAATATGATTTTTATTGTATTGGACTTTGAGTATTAATTAATATACATCTTGTTTAAGTAGACATTTTATCTTTTTGAGAAATATTACTTTGTGGAACACATAAAAATTATGAAAATTTAATATTATAAAAGGGTCGGGTTAATGGGTCAGGTATTCGTTGATTCGGTGGATACGGGTATGGATTCGACTATTCAAGATCCTGAGGGTTATTGGAGCGGGGCGGGTCATGTTTTTATTTTTTTAAACGGGTTTGGATCAAGGGTGATTCGCTCCAAACCCGCCCCATTGACAGGTCAGCTGATCTAATGGCATGTAAAAGCACTAATCAAATATGGGCCAAGCCCCTTTCTAAAAGGGTCAAGGTCAACCACAAGAACTTCTGACCCCACAAGCCAAGAAAGTGGTATTGAGAGATATTATACATAAGCAAATTACAGAAATGTTATCTGAGTATTGTTGTATTTACATTTAGTATTTTCCCATAATGTAAACAAATAATAAGAATATGCATATGAAGAATTCGAGACTAACAATTGAAGTGTCAATGGAATTTGGCAATCGGTCAATTTTATTCTCAAAAGCTAGCTTGGATTCCTTACTGATCTCCACACATCTAACTGATCTAAAAATATCAAGATTGAAAGATTTAGTTAATGAAATGGAACTTCAAAACAATCAGAACAACATATGAACACTTATTTCCTGCATTTTTTTTTGCAAAAGCCAGTGAGTCAGTAACAAATGCACCAAAAGTGACATTTATGTTTTTTTTAAGCAAAGAACCAAAATCCTGAAAAAAAAAACATTTATAATAAACAAAAGATAAGAATAGTAAGATAAGCACTATGGAGCCAAATATACATCACTTCATCCACATGCTCCCAGAAATCTCTCTCATAATATATGTCTCCACCTATATTAAAATCAAAACATTAAGCTTATTTCATAGAGACTTTAAGTTAACAATACAATATTTAAAGGAGAGAGAGGTTAAAAACTATTATCGTAGCTAAGTTATTCAACTTTTCAAAACTTGCTCAAGTTTCACTATGACAGCTCCAAACTATAGAAACTTGTACTTTGTCTGTAAATTTACAAACAGTTATTTCAATTTTGACCTTCAAGGTATTTTCAAATAGTCCAACTTGTTATTTAAATATCAGATGAACAACTAAATAATTTTGTATCTCTCATAAGCATGGAGAGGTGTGTTTTATGTGGTGAGAACCATCTACATATAACTATAAACTTAGCATATAGACATGCCACCTACTCATGACTAATAAATAAGCTTCATTTACACTGAAAACGTGATGCACCTGGACATATCTCAAATAACCAGTCCGTTCATCTTCATCATAAGGATCGATCTTCATATCATTTTCTAATAATAGTAATCACCGACCACACACACATCAATTTCTGAATCAAGAACCAAAAAACGTACGATTACACCAAATAGAATGAAATCAGGATGTAAAATCATTGTAGTTAACAAAAATAAAAAAGAAAAAGAAAAAGGAAATAAATAAAAATCACCTATCGTTTTTAGACTTCAATAAATCCCTAAGATGAATAGCTGTAAGGTATTATTATCCGGGACCAGGAAGTGCCAAATGGTGTTTGCCGAAGGCAGAGAATGGCGAAAAAAGAAAAATGGGTGTGCAAAAGAATCGATTACTGACGTCATTCTTCTAATTACCATTTAGGTTTTGTGTTAACATCGACATAGGGTTTTTCCAGGAGTATAAATCAAGAAAGAGGAGAAGATAAACGTTTTTGCAATTGCAATGAACTTGAAAGATGAGTTACTTATTTGAACTCAATCACTCTGGTTAATCACTCTGGTTATGAAGATTATATATGGACGGATTGAAGTGAGCATCGTGTTAATCACTCTGCCACCGCCAACAACTTCCCGACTCCCCGCCAAGATCCCGAAAAAGTCAATCACTCTGGTTAATCACCGTGTTAGTGAGCATCGGCATGGTATATTTAGAATAATCAGATCAAATCATCAAACAACTACGTAAACGAACTCTAGAACTGATTTACAGAGCGATCATAAGTGGAATTGTTTACCCGATCTCTGAAATATCATTAGCAGACGTTGTCATCGTTCTGAAATGTGCGGAAAAACAAATCTGAAATCTGAAATGTGAAGTCAGTAAACCACTCGAAATGAATCGAAATGGAATCTTGAAACGAATGTGCTTCGAGGTGTCTGGCAGTCTTAAAAGAAGTTCCAAAACTTGAGATTTGTATGGTGGCTTCTGTTTCTTCCATAAAATACCAGTGAAGTTGAAGAAGAAAGTGCACAACCATAGTTTATAAGAGTTGATTTGGAGATGATTTTGTTTTAGAACCCTAATTTCCTCCAAAATCGTTGATTTGGAATTGCTTGCGAGATTTGGGGATTTCAAATTTAAATTAGTATTTGGTTTCCAAAATCAAGAAGGAAAAATTAAAGGAAACAGTGAGTAATTTGTGAATAAACAGACAAGTATTGAATAATCAGGTTTCGTGTACATTGTACAGAGTTGACTTGACCATAGATGGGCAATATAGGAAATTCAGTTAGATGAAATGAGCGGGAAAAAATCGATTGGAGGGGCTAAGAGAAAGTCACGTGGCAAAAATGTTTTTATTTATTAGATTAGGGATTTTCAAGTACTTCTTTGGATCGTAGGGTGGCGAAGACACGACTGTACACACACATCAGCAGTTTATGATTTAAGATTCCAAGATGTTTTATTTATGACTCTAATCTTAGGATTTCAGTTTATGATCAAATGGTTTTATCTTGATTACAACTTTTTGAAATTAGGTGATTATCTTTTTTTTAAATGAAAATTTTATTTTGAAAATTAGGACGTTACATAATCATAATTGAAAACATACAAATATTAACAAACAGTAATAACAAACTCTAAGTTGGGAAGAATGGTACCTTTGAGGCAGATTTCCAAATGAACAATCCAATACAAGAAAAATTAAAGTAAATGAAGGGAGGAATCTTTAAATGTATTTGTTGTGGGAAAGAGCGACTACAAAACCTAAAAGAGGGAACATGTTGTTTGGTTGCTAATGTCGTTTCAATGGGTTGGGCAAGTGGGCGGACATTAGAGTCATTTCAATGGGTAGGGTCTCAATGTAACCCTAGAAACGGAAGCATTCCCAACATATACAATACCGGACATTAGAGTCGATTCAATGGGTAGGGCAAGTTGGCGGCCGCCCAAGGCCTCCTAAGCCAACTAATGGCTTAGGGCCCCAAAACTCAAATCTGTCATATATCATATATATAAAAACTTTTAATTGAAACAATGCACAAAATAGTTGAAGAGTTGGCAAGTGAGATTTACTCTCAATTAAGGGGACTTTGTTCAAATCTTTTTAGCACCTTTTTTAATATCTATTGAAAAAAAAATTAAAGAGAAATATATAAAGATTTTCATACTTACCAAACAAAGTTGTTGTAGTTCAGTTAGTAGTAACCCTTTGTTTCCAACTAAAAGAGAAAAACATTGGTTTTTTAATTAAAAGATAAAATATAACAAGGATAGATATATGTTTGTATACATAAGAAATGATAGTTTCTTCAAGCTTAGTACAAGTACTTGCTTCTTATTTACAAACCTGGGTCTTAATAGGTATTCGGATTAAGGGTTATAAGTTAGTAAGCATGTTAAATAAAAAAGAAGCAACACCTTCAAACATCCACAGTGCAAGTTTAATGAAAGCTGACTAGACAAGAAAGGATTAATGTAGCATGTGTAAGACTAGGCTTAATAAATATCTGATAAGTGGGAATTGAAGCTTAAAGCATTAAGGATGAGAGTGAGCCAAGAATTTGGACATAGAAAAAAATATAATACCAATTCAAAACAGTTTTTATCTTCAACACTAGATATCTCAATAGCTATATTCTACAAAATATTTCTTTTGCACGACCCATACAAAATTCTAAACACCACATTGTTTAGACAATGTCCGGTTCAATCATATCCTGAAAAATATTACATAACATTTCAACAAACTACCTTCAAACAAATAGTCTTTGAACAATGTACATAAGCCAAATTTTCATCACATTAATCATCCATAACAAAGTAAAAAAAACAATCCAATTAAACTTTTCTGTAACTCTCAATTTCATTCATCAACAGAGGTGGTCTTCTTTCCTGCAAGGTAACACGTTACAAATTGGTTCAATTTAAAAAAAAACAACTAAAAAATGAAACAATGCTACTGAAAACTCACACACACACACACCTACCTGTACCAGGACCACCACTACTACCACCATAAACTCTTGGCTCGGCCTTTGTCACAGTAATTGTACATCCTTCAACATCAGATCCATTAAGTGTTAATGCTTCATTATAGGCAACACTCTCAGCAAATTTAATGAAACAATCCCTGAAAAAAAAAAAAAAAAAGTTAATTTTATTTTCACTAAGCTTAAACATAAATCTTCACATACACTTTTTTAACACCGTCGCCTTCATAAAAATTAAAAAAATCTATCCGTGATATCAGAGAAGAGTCCCCAAAATGCTTCATAAGGTTAAGCCTAAGCTGTAACATACATTGTAACAACCAAAATCAGAAGAAAAAAAATGATATTTTTTAAATAGATAATAACAATATTATAAAGTTAACTTACATTGTCAAACTTCTCATTATCACCGGGAAATCCACTTACAAATAATGTGTCTTCTCCATCCTTTTGGAAAGACCATTCATTTCTACAGTATAAATGTGAATCAAATTTATCAAATGTTCATTTTCCAACATTCAAATATAAAAAAATAAAATAAAATAAAAATAATTATACCCCACACGGCCCGAAGTGAATGTACCCGTCTTCGCTACTAACTCGAGTCTCACAGGGATGTCAAGTAATAGTTCATCGTTAAGTTTACTAGCCTGCAATAGAACTATGTCCATTAGTCTAAAGGGGTTAAACAATGAAAATAAATAATATACATAAAAAAGGAAACATACACAAACCTTTTGAGCTGCCTCATAGGTAGCAAAGTCAACATACCCGTAGCCATCAAATTGGTCATCTTTCTGCAAGGGTACGGTTGTCATTAATTTGATTGGAGGGAAATGAAGTTACAATAAATAAATAAAAACACGTACATATCCGCTTCTTGAATGTTAGAGCTTAGACAGCCCATAAACAAAGTTTTTGATCTAGTAGCTTCAGGCTGCAGATGTATAACGTATAATCAAAAGGTTGTAAACAAATGAGATATGAATATAAAAAGAGAGCAAACATACTGATGATGGAGTATCAGTCATTTCAACATCACCATCCTGAAAAGATATTTGAAGAATTAGTAATAATTTGACAAAAAAGAACCCATATAATTTCTTACATTTTTCTTTGGTTTTTCCACTTCCTTTTAAGAGAGGTCGTGCTATCTTTCTATGCAGCCAAATTAATAAGATAAGTAACTAGGACTGAGTGTACAACAAAAGATAGAAGAAATCCACATACTTTTTTTTCTTCACAACATGACATAAGGAAAATAACCATACCTCTTTTTCAGAGCTACTGTCATCATAATTTTCTACAGATCCTGGCTTAGCTTTCTCAACAGTAATTTTACATCCTCCAACATCAGACCCATTGAGTTCTAACGCTTTCATAACTTCATCCCTACTAGAAAAGTAAATGAAAGCATCCCTGGAAAAAAAATCATTAACGCGTTAACATTATGTCACTAAGCTTAAACACAAACGTTACATACCCTTTTTTAACACCATCGTCAGATTTATAAAATTCTGGAATCATCATTTCTACAAGCATTCCACATTGCCTAAAGTGTTTTTCAAGGGAAAGCCGAACCTGTAACATACAATGTAACAGGCAAAAACAAATTAAAATGATATTTGTAAACAGTTATAGTTCAACAACAATATTAATATTATAAAGTAAACTTACATTGTCAAAACCAGCATCAACACCAAATCCTTTTACAAAAACCGTTTTTTCGTGAGCCTCTAGGTAAGACTGCACATTTCTACAGTATAAATGAGAATCATTATTCCAACATAAAAATATTTTAAATAAATAAATAAATAAATAAATATATAAACTAAATAATTATACCCCCCCCCCCTGCCCAGAGGAGGGAATGCACACGCCTCCTCTGCTAAGTGAAGTATCACGGGGCGGTCATGTAACTGTGTGTTGCTAAGTTTATGAGCCTGCAAATAAAATTATGTCCATCACTCTAAAGGAGTTAAACAATGAAGATAATCTATATATATATATATATATATATATATATATATATAAAGGAAACATACACATACCTCTTGAGCTGCCTCAGGAGTTGCAAACTCCACATACGCATAATTTGCAAATTGACCATCTCTCTTGATGACAAAGCGGACTTCAACAATTTTACCAACAGAGTTGAAGAAATTAGTTCTGCAAGGGTACAAGTGTCATAAATTTGATCCAACAGAAATGATGTTGTAAAAAAAAATCACGTACACATCCACTTGTCGAATTTCTGGGCTTAGGTTGGCCATACTCAAAGTTTTTGATCGAGTATCTTGGGGCTGCGGATGGACATCAAGGAAATCAAAGATTAAAAACAAATCAGCTATGGATATAAAAAGAGAACATATGTTCCTTTGCAGTAGGCTACCAGCTAAATTAATAGGATAAGTAAACAAGACTGAAATTCCAAAAAATAGAACTTTACATACTTTTTTCACAGCTTGTGGCTCTTCATCACTACTTTCCTCAGCCACATCACTCTTATCTACCTTTTGTTTTTTGCTATTTACTGCTTCCTTATCGATATTCTCCTCGAGGTCCCTCTTGCCTATACCTCATAAAAACCATCAAATCACACAAGAATTCACAATATTGCAAGCTACAACCTTTTTACAATCACTAAAACCATTATTATCAATAATTAATTAAACTATTCCATACATCAACACTTAATTAAAATTTAAAAATATCACCAAACTACAGGCTCTCAATCAAGAATAGACTTTACAAGGGTGGGCTTTTTGCCCTTCATATAAAAAATAATTTCTAATCACAAAACACAACAAGAATAATATACATCTCAATATCTCATACACATACCAACAGTATAGTATAATTTATAAGATAGCCCTCAAAATAGAATAATAAACATATAAACATTAATTACCTGTTTCCATTGCTTTGGTCGGCTGAACTACAAAAGCTAAAGTTGAATCAAGTTGAAAACAATCTAAAACAAGCAAATAATGAGAATTTAAAAAATACAAATATAAACAGACGGTAAAAGAACAAACTCAAAGTTGGGAAGAAAGGTACCTTCGAGGAAGAGTTCCGCAAATGAACAATCCAACACAAGAGAAATCAAGGTTAAGGAAGAGAGTAATGTCTCGATGCAGGAAAGAGCCACTACAAAACCTAGAAGATGGAACGTGTTAGTTTCAGCAGTTTTTTAAAGTCTGCAGGCTATATAAAAAACATAGTTAGAAAAACTAACTTTGTTAAACTTAATAAAATGTTTTCAGTACTTTTAGTTTTGTGGAAATCTAATTAAGAAATGAAATTTGAAGATTTTGAAGTTGTTTGGTTTTTTTTCTTAAGTATGGTTTTTCGAAGTTCAATGTGTGCATGAATAGCAATATACTTTCATTTCTAATTAGATGCATAGTAACATACTTTACTTTTAATTAGATGCATAGTAACATACTTTATTTTTAATCTATAATCTATAATTTGTGTTTGTGAATAATCACACACTTTCAAATCTAAAATATAACTAGTCTATAAGTTCACAATAAGAGTACAAAAGCTTTAAAAAGGATTTCATCATTGAAGTAGAAACTCAAAAGCAACTAAAAATTCCTCCAAGAAATAATCAACTCAATTATCACATTCTAAAACAAAAACACATTCATTTCTCAAATATCCATATGAGCAATCTCTTGCTCCACCCATTCTCTTCCCTGGTCAGCAACAACAGCACTACCAGCCTCTACAACAAACAATAACTAAATGCAAAATAACTTGAATCATTATATTCTTTTAATCCTTATTAATATAAATGAATCATATTTAACTAATACATAACTGAATCATGATAAAATTTTAAATATTTTTTACATAATAACCATACTTAACATTGTATTGTAAATGAATCAGATGCTTCTGTTTAAAGTATTTAGCCCACTTTGCACAACAGCCTAACTCGATTCAGATGCTTTATATATTAAAAGAGTTACTAACAATCCAAATGCCCAATTTAATTGACAAATCTTATGGTTGTGATGTTAATAACCTTATTGAAAAATCTAGTAACGCATAATGAATCAAATATCCTGTTTTTCAGAGACAAATGTGAAGAAAAAGTTGATGGAATCAATTATTTCAGAAATTAAACTAGTAGGTGGCCGATTTCAGAAATTAAACCTTGTCAATGAATCTGATTTGAGAAATTAAACCTAGAACAGAACCAATATCAAAGAAAATATTTCATACTTTGTGAAAAAGAAGATGAATCTGATCGGCGACGGCTATTGAATTGGGGAGACGCCGCTCATGGCTGTTGAAGCCGGGGGAGACGCAGGTCACAGCGACAGATGGAGGTTCTTACGCAGGCGACGACGGCAGAGGTAGATGACGCCGACGGTTGTGAAGAAGGTGCAAGAGATGAAGAGATGCAGTCGACAGAGGAGGAGAAGAACGGCGTGAGTTATGTGGGAATTGATGGTCTGGACGAGGCATGCAAAAACCGGTTTTTTTTCTGAACCGGACCGGTTCAGAAAACCGGTTCGGTTCCCGTCAACGTAGTCCAAACCGGTTCACCCCCAAACCGGTTCGGTTCCAAACCGGTTCTGCCCCAAAAATATCCGAACATATGTAAACCGGTTCGGTTTAATAGAAACCGGTTCAGAAAACCGGTTCAAAAACAGGTTCAAAAACCGGTCCAAAAACGGTTCAAAACCGGTTCGACGCAAATAAGCTTTTCTAATTTTATTTTTTTTTGTTTTTGGGCTAATAAGTGTAAAATAAATGAGTTTTTTTTTGTTTAGAGTATAAAGCACTAGATTGTCTTGAACCAAAAAAAAATTTGGCTTCACAGTAGGTGGTTTGGGGGATTGGGAAGGCAAAGGCTTATAAGCCTTACATATATACATACACATACACGTCCATATGGACCATATTGCCAAAAGTTTTTTTTTTTTTTTTCTTGTTCAATAATATACATATCTTTTCATGTATTAACTTTTTTTTTGGTTTTAAATTTTATGTTTTGTGTATATGTAGAAAACAGAATGTATGTAAAAAATTGTTCAACTTGAATCAACACATTTTTTGGAGCAATTTTCAACCTTTTTTTTCATTTTTTTTTTTTTTTTTTTTATATTAGAAATACATAATACAACTTCAAACATAAAAACACAAAACATCCAAATATAAAACGTTGTTGTCGTCATACTAATACATCTTCAGAAAGGGAACATTGTTGTCGTCGTAGTCTTCATTCCAAGTCCGTAGTCATTGTATTTATTCGTCATCCGCCATGTCGTTGCGCAATCCTCTCTCATACTCGAGCTCTTTTAGGGTGAGTGGCACCGACATTCCCATTGCTACTTCTTCCTCATGTACTCGTGCTTCGGCATGCAACGATGTGCCTTCTAGTGCTTCAACATCTTGTATCCGTTCCACACCATCAAGGTACCATTTCAAGCAAATGCACACTTCCACCGACAAAGGGGTGAGTTTTGTTCTTCTTGGTGATATAACCCTGCCACTAACAGAAAAAGCCGATTCCGAAGCTACCGTAGAAGCTTGGGAGCTTAGTAGATCACGGGCCATAGCGGCTAGAATCGGAAATTGGGTTTCCTTTCCTTTCCACCAAGCCAAAATATCAAAATTTTCAAACTCTTGAATACTCATTTGAGACAAGAAATCGGAACCAATGTACCTTCCGAGCTCGCTACTAGGGGGTGTTAGACCGAGCTCGTTTGGAATTTTCATTCCTCAAAGTATTATAAAGCCTAATTGTTTCGTTATTTTGGTGAGAAGTGGATCCGGATGCCCCCGTATTTTGCATTATGTCATGAATGTTTGTTGAACCATATTTTGTTAAATAAACTTCAAACAAATTTTGAAAAACTTTGTTAAATTTTGAAACTTCCTTTGATGCATAATCAATGTCATCATCCAATAAACCCAAATCGTAACAAATATTTTCAATTAAAGTCTCAACCCCCCCAACATTTAGAGCCGGATTCAAAGCGGCGGAACAAGTAATAATGGGAGGCATTTCTTGAAAATATTTTTTTAACTTTGCTTTCATCGGTTTCATCATATTAGCAAACATTGCGCTCCTCATTTCAAACTCATTTATTTTCGCACTCATTAAAAAAATTTGGTTTAAAACTAAACAACTTGTAGAGTAATAAACCCCCGATAAATAAGTGGTTGCTTTTTTAAAAACATCAAGCATGTCCGTAACAAGTTTGATAGTATCCCAACTTGATTCCGGATAAGCCGTAACCTTGTTACGGTCCGCAAGATTGTCATGGAACATTTTTAAAGTATCTTTTTGACGTAAGGCACATTCAAACATTTTGCAAGTGGAGTTCCATCGGGTATTATTTTCCCAATTCGGACCTAAAAAGAGGGCATTCGCATCGACACAAAATTGCATATAATTATGATATCGAGCATTACTTGAACTAAAAATATCTTTTAGCATGTCTTTGAAACCATCTTTTATAGTTTCAATGCTAGTTAGTCCATCTTGCACAACCAAATTAATGATATGTGCAACACATCGACTATGAAAAAAAACACCATCGCAAATTGGTTTATATTTTAGTTTTAGTTGTCCAACCGCGACGGTGTTGTTTGAAGCATTATCAAAAGATATAGAAAAAATCTTTCCTTCAAGTTTATAAGTTTTGATCACACAATCTAAAATTTAAATAAATTTCTACCGGTGTGCGGGTACTCAAACAATTCAAACGTAATCGTACGCTTCATCATTACCCAACTAGTTGGATTAATCCAATGAGCGGTAACACAAAGGTACGCATCCGGTGAACCGTGAGGAGCCGTCCAAACATCACAAGTTAAATTCACACCGGTTTCTAAAGATTGAAATCCTAAAATCAATTCATTTTTTGCAAGTTTCCACATTTCAATACAATCACGTCTAATAGAAGTACGACTCACATGGCAATATCGTGGTTGGAGAGTATCTTGGATGAGTGAAGTCAAACGTTTGTTGTCGAAGTGGTCAAAAGGCAAGCATTCTTGAATCACGAACTTCGCCATCCTATCCCGAACTTTAGCCAAATCGTAACTCTACAATGTTGCATCATTCGCCATTGTTGTTTGATTATGACCTGACCCAAATTTCACCGCGGGGCATCTTTTGGTCATATGAGTTTTCAATGTCAAATTCCCTTCTTCATTAAAAAAAGCACCACATTTCTTGCATCGCGCCTTTTTTAGACCATTCGACATTACACACAAATCATAGTTGCACCAAATAGCCGGATTTCTATTTGTTTCTTTGATGCTAACAACGGTAAGAGTGTTTGATGAATCTCCAATACCAACGGAAGCCGAATCCATTGTTTGAATTAAGAGCGTTTTTTGAAGTAAGAGAGGTTTTTTGAGGTTTGGTTAACCCAAAACATCTAATAGCTATTTATACTATCAAATATTGGGGAATATGGCCAAAAGGGACCAAAAATCGGGTGTCTAACAGCCATAAACGGCTATATAGCCGTTAGAATAAGACAAAAAAACGGGCATATGCAAAACCGGTTCAAAACCGGATCAAAAAACCGGTTCATACTAAACCGGTTCGAAACCGGTCTCAACGGTAACTACATCGAATCGGTATTGGTCCGGCGGTTCGGTTCAAGTGCGGTTCGGTTCAGGGCTGAACCGGTTCGGGGGTAAACCGGTTTCCGGTTCACTGACCGGTTCGGTTTGTGAACCGGTTTTTTTGGTCACGTCTAGTCTGGACGATGCTTGTGAAGGAAAGCGTGTTTTATCTTTTAATTTCACTCACACAAGCCCAAGCCTTGTGAGCCCAAGCCCAAGTCTGCTTCAAGCAGAAGACGCGCAGTCTGTTGTTCTAAAAAACAAACGTTCTGTAAGCCTTAATGTCTTGCACCATAAATAAAGTAAAAAATATCTGCAAGAAAAAAACAAACACTTGGGGGCATAAAAGTATATAAAATTTTTTTGTCGGATCAGGTCAAAACGGTTTAAAATGCGGGTAACAAAAAAAATTGTGACGTTACAAAAGAAAATATTAAAGTACATATTAAATTTATATATCATCGCTATTTTTTTCCAGTTAATATCACATTGAAAGATGTATTCAGGTCTGAAGATTCTAGCAACTCATATATTCCGTTTGGAGGGAAAGTTATTATTTCTCAAACATCCCGTGTTTTCACATGGCCAATTGTATGTTGCCTTATTTAGAGTTCAAAGCAGAGAGGGATTAAAATTGTTAATTTTAGATAATGATGCTAATCTGGCAAATCAAACTTCCAATGTTGTTTATAAGGAAGTTTTCCAGAATTTATAAACATTGTTTTTGTACCATCTTTTATTTACTTTTCATAAATCATACTTCATACATCATATTAATTAATTAATTTATAATATTTATTCATGTTAATTACAATATCACTATTCTTCATTTTTTGTAAACTTTGATATCTTTTTTTATTAGAAGATCAAAATCAAAATTATAATTCTATTCCAAATTATGAACCGTGGATTTCCACGGGTTTTAACCTAGTATTAATTATAATTGTCCTCGACTTGTCATAGCTTGAAAATGATTCATTACAATTTCATTGGTGCTTCGAACTAATAAAAGGGTTAATGTAACAACTATCTAAAATATTCAGAAACATCATCCAATAAAATAAAAAGTCATTAGAAGGTAACGATCTATTGTCTTTTTTTTTTTAAATTATCATTGATAGAATGGTATTTTAATAAAACGTTTTAATAGTTCGTTACCTGTTGATGATATTTTTTTAGTTGAATGGTGTTTTAAAACATTTAAAATAGTTTGTTATCTTCTTAGGATATCAACCTTAATAAAAATAGGTTAAATAATGATTAAGGTGAAAGACATAAAAATTGAAAAAATGTTTCTCAAAACTCAAAAGTGTTTAGGGTGTGTTTAGTTGCGGAAAAATGAGCCATTTTCGGGAAAAATTTTCCAAGAAAAATGAGAATTTTGAAAATGCGTTTAGTTCGTCTATTTTTCTAAATTTTTCACGGAAAATGAAATTTTTCTGTTTTCTAAAATTACAAAGAAGTTTGAAATTTTTGGAAAACCGATAATCATTGCTTTCCACAGTTTTCTAATTTCAAAATTTTTCTAAAATATAAACAAACACCCACTCCTACCCCATCCACTTCTATATACCCCCACCATAACACCCCCCCCCACCCACCCACCCACACCAACCCACAAACACACACACACACATACATACCCACCCACCCACACACAGACACACCCACAAACACACACACACACACATACATACCCACCCACCCACTCACACACAGACACATCCACAAACACACACACACATACATACCCACCAACCCACCCACACACACACCCCCACAAACACACACACACACCTACACACACACACACACCCACAAACACACATACACACACAAACACACACAAACACACCCACCCACTCAACACCACTACC